TCGGACCAAAGGAACTGATTAAAGAAAAGTTGTCTCAGCATAAAAAGGTCCATTTAAAAGTATGCTTTAATCTCTGTAAAGTATTGAAAAAATATAATTATCAAGTATCTCAACACGTTCCTTATTGACACATATTCTACATGTACACGTAGTGGTTTTGCCATACAGTTTATTGTGTGTGATGGTTAATATGACTTCCTAAATGTTAGCGTTTGGAGACAGTGAAAGTGGGAAAGAGAGTATACATAGATTTATATTCATGGTCTAGAAAAAAAATGGCCAAAGACATTGAGTTGTTTAATGTAATAAATAAATTCACAAACGTTTCCTTTTTATATTCGCGTGTAGTTTGTCATTGCATATATGCACTTTATGTAAACATTTGAAAAGGGATATTCGTCTCGTGAATATTCCTTTTTACAGAAAGGTTTGTCCCATTGTTGAGGGAGTGTTTAGCCCCGTACCACCTGTACCGGTCACGGGAGAAGGCTGTGATAAATTGTAAAAACTTGTGCCCCATCCTTTGTTTAATTTTATTGGCAACAGATTTATGTTAAAAGCTAAATAAATTTAAATTCTTAATATTGGCAAGTGTGCAATTAACTTCTGATGATGAATAATTACTGTTCAATAAGTTTGAATACGGAATTAGAAATCATATAACTTGGTTTCATAGTGCGGTAAGAAGTTGCAGTTGCCTGACGGCCCCTCTCTGAGGGCCCCTTTGTAAACCGTTTCATCTCGCTCGCACCCACTTGTGTTTGCTGCCTAATCAGGTGACGTTATCGGCGCTATTTTTAGCCGGGCTTTCCCGAACAATTCAAGTGGTCAAACTGGACATTTGGAACGGACTATGAATATGGGGATAGCGAGGTGACATAAGTGGAAGTGCATACAATACATACATTCATTAAAAAAAAACCGCCTTTTCACGTGATGTCCCTTTAAGGACCGTGTAGCTTTCGCGTTTTTACACCTATTTTAGATAGATAACTCGAAATAGTTTTTTATCATCTAAATGTTATCCAAACTTCTTCAGAAAAATACTGCGTGCGCATGCTCCTTGTGTACAACTTCACAGAATGACGCATTTGGTACCTTTGCCCACTTACACTATGGTAACAAATAGCAAATTTCAACAGTCTCTAAAATCCTTATTTTTGGACCAATTTCGTTAAACCGGCCATCACAGGCCCAGGCGGCCGAGGCCTTCCCTGGCCTCTCTCTCCAAAGGCTCACATTCTCGAACCTCGAATCCCGTCTCTCCACTCTTAGACACCATATGCAATTCTCCCCAAGTGCTTTTAAAAATCTATACAAAATTAACTATTCATGAGTAAGTACCACCTATTGTACATAAGTAATGAGGCACGTGCAGCAATTTAATATAACTTCTAATCTAACTCCTATGCTAACTTTTCCCTTCCAAAACAAATACTAGATGCATGTACCATATGGCAATGACAGTTACACCTGTCTGTTTTGGAGAGTTAAAACTCTCGTTCCTACAAATTGTATCTCTATGTCGGTCCTCACAGCTTTTCCTAGCAAACTTGTAAGTTTCCGCACACAACAAGTTTTGCTGCATCTTAGAAAACTGAGCTTCTGAAGTATCGTTAATTTTATTTTCGAATGTATCCAAGTTGTTGGAAATAAGAGCGTCCATTCCGGAAACTATATCATCCACAGCCGCTTTTAGCTGTATAGGGTTCATGACTAAGAAACAATAACGCTAAAAAATAAGGTGAACCGTGCAGTTCGGCAACACCTGTTTACCCGATACCTGTCAACCACTGTGACGTCACAACACGTGCAACACTTGCTACTCGGTGCCGAATGAGACTAATTATTCCCGCTTTACTCGCGAACCGCGGGAATAAACTTACTGTTTAAAGGGACGTAACTCGAGTTAACTTCGATGTCATTTCGCGGGAGAGCGCTATTTTAATTGTGGTTTGGTTTGGTTTGGTTTGGTTTGTTTGTGCTCAAATTCTATTTACAGCTATGGTCGAGGAGGAAAACACCGGAGTTAAAAAGGAACCTTCTACCAGTTCCGTGGCAAGTTACAACTGCTCTTATACTTACAATGATCCTTATGTAAGAAACGATGCATAAAAACCAGGTGTTAAATACTATTTTAAATACTGCATGTGTTCCAGATTCTTGGAAGATTGGTGTAATTGAATATATTTTTTTATAGAAATAAAACAGATCCCAAAGACTTGGACCATTATAGGGCTGTAAGTCTATCTCCCTGATAGTTTTACTTGTCTATATTCATAATCGTTTGAACAAGCCGGCCGATAAACTAACCATATTATTGGTACTCAAGCAGGTTACTGATGATAATAGATATCAATTTATTTTTCTATTTGTACAACATCTGCATTGTATCTCTCATATGTATTTAGGTATTAACTTTCTATTTAGTTTAGGTTATCGGGTTGTAACTACAATGGGACTCGGGTAATTGGAAGCCGATTATGATTAATATATACGAGTTCCAGTGTAGTTATCACCCAATAACCTAAACTAAATAGAAAGTTAGTCCTTACATTTGTAGTCTTTTTCTTTAATATTACATAAAACGCGTTCTTTTAACAATATATTCCGCGGGAGGATTACAAGCATCCCATTCAAACCCGATGTATGATACGGTTACGCTTCGCGCCACGCTTCGGACATCCTTGATATCCAGGGGTTACGTTCACTGTCGCTCTCTGCACCCTTGGAATTTGTCATAGCAAAATTAAAGGCTCGGTGCGCGCCACCTTGTTGATGAGACAAGAAGACTAGTTTGATCTTGTGATGTACATCAAAAGAATCTCGCGGTCATGTAACGGTAAAAATTGAAAGGCTTCGTTGCATTTTCCGATGTCTGACGTAATCTCTCATATGCTCGCGATGTGTCCAGACACGATTTGAGTGTGCATGATATAGGGTAATGATCACAGACATGTGGCGGTAGTGAATCATGGCGTATCGTCCTCTGTGGCCAATGGGGCAGTCCTTTTGAGTAAAGAACATAATCAATAGTTGAGTTATCCTTCCCTTTCGGATGTATGGAAGTTCCTTGCATCTGTTGCCTCGTAGGAGAGGTCGTGATCAGTGATGAATCCTTTCAGAGCAGCTGTTCGTATTGACGACAAACCCTTAGTGATAGTAGTGTTACGGTCTCCCGCCACAATGATCTCACAACAATATTTGTATATGTCCAAGATTTCGGATAGCTGGTCAGGTGTGTCTTGAAATTCCTCATCACAGTTTGTATTCACTCTACACGGCATGTAGACGTTAACGACAATAGATAGGTGAAGCTGTCACTCTAATGACTTGAGTTCTGTTGTAACCATCGTTGTACCAGCTGGTCAATGTTGGAGTTCCATAGGATTGCTACACCTCCCTATCCCCGGGGCTTCTGTACTGGTGAAATAGGGTTGCCCTATCGACGGCTTTACCAGCATATCTTCAGTTTGCATCACAATGAGATAGTTTATCGAGTTCAAAATCAAAAAGTCAGTGTTACTGAATCAACATGATTGTAGAGATTTTAGCTAACTAAGCTATGGTATGTTGGCTTATATTGAGGTTTTTACAGTTATACGACGTTGTGTATATAGTGCCAGAGTCACATTATTGACGTCTGTTAAATGTGTGTTCGTACAGTCATGGCCTGTGCCAAAAAACGGATATGAGCTTCCTGGTCACTCGTTTGTTCTAGGGTGTTGTCCAGAACACTAGAGATGTTACGGTGACCATTGCAGCTACTCAAAGTTGTTGGTGTACATTAGGATTTTTGTTCATCATTAGTATTAATGCTTGGAACATCGCTGTTAAATGCTGTCCGGCATAATAGGCATGCGGATGGTGTAAATGTAAGGTATGCTGTTGAGCATAACCAAATCCTGTAAATCCTACATGATGACTTGCAGTGTCTAGGTCGTGCGCTATATCAACTATCTATGTTGGAATGTCTTGGCACATTGCTAGTCATCTGTGAGCCAGTATTATCAGGTCGGCTAAGTCCTTGTGTGTAGGGTACTTGGTAAAGAGTGGATACGGCATGGGGGTGGCGAGCCAAACAGTCCTCGCTAACTGATAATTCCTGTGTATTTTTATGTGCTTGTGTTGAGCTCGTTGGGTGCTCTGGTGCTGCTACAACATTGTCCATAACGGCCGAAATGAGTTTTTGTTCTAATGTTGATAGTCTATATTGCATGGTAGTAATTTCAAGGGCCATAACTTGATCCCGTAAATTGTTTAGAATATCTCTGCTGTTATTCAGGGGTGATTGGACACCGTTAGACAGTTGTTCATAGAGAGCATGGTGATGGTTGAGATTGTAGGTTACATAGATGCTTTGTTTTCGGCCTCTGATATGTCACCTTCCATCATGGCAGTTTGTCTCCTCAGTATGTTTATAGTGTTGTTCTGCTTCTTATGTTTTGTTTCCAGACGAAATATCATAGGTTCAGCCTTCGCAAGCTCTTTCGTTTTATCCATCAGACTGGCTTCCCTAAGCTTAATATCGTCCTCCCATTTCCTTAGTTTCAATTCCTTTTGTTTGAGCTCTTTGTTGGTTATTGACTTATTATCGTTAGATCCCATTTTTCCATCAGTTCGGCTGGTGTGTGATCATGTTAGTATCTTTTCCTGCGCTGTCAACGTTGTGGTTCGTAACGTAGTCTCAAAAGGGTTACATGTATATTTAGCCCCCACTTGATCTGATATTAGGCACCGGGTATGGCATCTAGTCAAGCAGCTGTCACTGTCACAGACGTTTCCCTCATTACCAGTCAATATGTCCCCACAATAACAAGCATCCTGCGGACGATATTGTTCAATATGATTTTGGTTCGAATTTAATTGCTGAAGTGCAAGTGTGGTCGCTTGGGTTTTGGGCGATGAAACATGAATAGTATCATTGATAGCTGGGGCGATTTGTGAAGTGCCTAATTTAGCTGGTGATTCCATATTAATGTTCGAGCTTGATTTTGTACCCTGCGTATTTTTCCAATATAACTGTTCAGTTCATTCAAGTTGGGTATAGCATCCACTTTCTTTAGAATACCCCTTAGGTTATTGCTGACAAAGTCCATATTTTTAGACCCATTGATACCAACAGTAGATGTTGAGTGGAACATGTTGGTAGGGTTAAGCTGTCTCCCATATGGAGCTCCGTTTGATAAATGGAGAGTGTTTGGTCCTTAGCCTTCGATTTCTCCTTTTTATCTGTAGCCTGATAATATTTGCCCGAATTTTCCAAGAATTCATATAATGCGACTTTGAATATCGCGTATGCTGCAGCTTAAAACTTGATTACAAGTGTCCCGCTTTTGTTTACAATCTCAATATGATGCTGTCTCATTGTCGCCTCAATGGGGTTTTTCAGTAACTTTTGTCCATCGAGGGAGAAAGGGGCTTCGATTGTTTTAGATGGTGCCACTGCTGTTGATTTATTTGTCAAGCTGTTTGTAGGAGTGAAGATATTAGTTGGTTTTCTCAGCCTTGTAGATCTGACTATGGAGGCTGCCATTTTCTAAAATGGCGGCAAGACTTCTTCCGCTCGATCCAACAACGAGGAAACAAAATGGCGATACGCTTTAGATTGAAACACTCATGCAGGATTGTGTGGAACAGCCGCTTCAATTTTTATGAATTACAATAAGTTCAATATGATAGTTCAGCAAAATAATAGAATATATACACAGCTACACACAAAAATCAAATTAAAAGTTAATACCTGTAGATTGCATTTAGCCGTGACGTCACCAGGCCGGTCAAAACCACGCTATGGTGACAATTTTACTGATAAAAAGTACTTCTTATGATTTTTGCTGGTAATTAGAAAACACCGTTCTATCAAAGGTATCGGATGTTTAAGTTTACTATGATGAATTATTGTTGGAGATTCTCTAACCCTAGTGAGAGAGTATTCAAACTGTTGTCCAGCGAAAACCAGCGAATTCTAACAATTTTTAGCTGTAGCTATAGCAGCACGTGAAGATACTCCAAATGCATGCGTTTCAGTGTAAATTATGGGAATTTTAGGGCATTTTCGTGGGACGTATATTGGATTTATGTAGGTGCTATTCTGACGTTTAGGAAAGGGATTGATATATAGAATTTGTCAATGATTACTTATTTGTACTTTATTATTGCCAGTTCTACATTGGAAGATTATGACTTCTCTACCATTTAGATTCTTCTACAAGTGAAAACTGTGTTGAGTAAGCTGATATTATTATGTCATTCGTCTGACCCTGTGGTCAGTTGCCCTATTCCATCTGGATCTATTTGGAAAGGATATTTCTTTATTATAAGTCGACATTCGTTCGACAGACGATAACCATGATGTTTATTTCAATCAGTCAAATCCACCAATCGATCGACATCGCTCGTTCACACATGAAATCAGTATTTGACATATTTACAAACACTATTGCAATTCACTTTTGCGGTAAATTCAGCGGAGCATTCTAACCACGAGTTTGACAGGTTGTAAGTAGATTTAAAGGTTAAATAGTTTTTTAATCCGCTAGCATATCTTCAACTACATATAAAATAAAATACGGGTACCCTCATTCGACAAATGAAACCAGTCCCGTGACTCGCTTGTGCGATGAAGCTTTTTGGAAGAGCTATAGTCTGTTGGAAAATAATACACGCTCGCCCATGGTATATCGTCCAATAATCCAAGGAGGTTACCCAATGGAAAGTGTCGTTACATCGCAGACGTGGTAGGATTTGAAATATAGCAAATAACCTCAAAATTCACTTCACGAGTCTTTAAACGTATGATTTTGATAGTATATCTTTACAAACGATATCCTCGCAATTATTATTAATGAAATGTTTCGGGGTTAATTTTTCATAATTTTTCATGATTTTGTTAGATATGCAAATGAGACCAATGATTCAAATCTGTAATTAGAAATCGGAGCCATGAAACTATTTAGAGTCTGTAATTAGAGATCAGCACCTCAAAACTTTTTGGATTAAAACCTGTACTCACAGATTGGGACTATGGAAGCGAAAAATTAGGTTCTTCAGTTGTATATGAAATGAGATGTAAAACAATGAGTGTACAGGTACATATGACACATACAAACGATTTATACAATGTTCAGAATGTGTTAAACGAAAACTCGACTTCTTGTAACAAAACAGACAAATAATTGAAACTGCTAATTGAATAATTGCACTTGGGTAATTGATTAATTGAAATCATTTATGACAGTTTAACAGTTACACTTGGATAATTGATCAATGAAAACCATTCATGATGCGCTGAAGGCCAGTCTGAACTGGGGGTGTTTGATAATGGAAATCTAAAGTGATGTTCATAGGAAAGTCGTGGATACATTTGCTACGTCGCTGTACTAAGTACAATTGTAAATAGTCTCATAAGCTGCAAGTCGTTTGGGTTATGAAATTCTGAGAAAAAGCACAACCCCGTTTCGGAATTACAAACATTATTGTTTGGAAACCGTGTTGTCTTCGTCTTATTAACTCACTAACGTATGGTGATACAGTCTCTCGATATCGCGAGTTCGTTGTTACGGGTCTTTTCCAGGCTTCAGTAACTCGATATTGCATGTTCATTGATACGGGTCATTTTCATACCATAGCAGACGAGTTATGAGGTCACGTGTCATCGATACAAGGTACAACTTAATCATAAAATTCAGTTTAACAAAATTAGGATAGCAACTATATACGTACCGAACTTATATATACAAACATGGTCATTAGTCTCCCAGGCTTTAATCAAATATGTTATGTATTCATTATAAGATAATTCAATAATTAACCTTATAACGTTCTGTAAACATGAGTTTATAATCTCTGGCTTGATACACCACCCGATGTAACAAAAAAATGCATTATAAATATAAACATGTATCGAAATAATAAACAAGATTATATTCTATATATATATTTATATTTATAATATTTTGATATAGTTATCTGCATGGCATTCCTGACTGCATTACTAACTAATTGGAGATTCTGAATCATTATAAATTTATCGTTGAGTTTTCTTATGATCTAGGATTTCACAGATTTATACATCCTGCTATTCCTTCTGGAACCAAGATTTTATACCTATCAAAATAAATATTACAGAGGCCGATATGTGACCAACCGTTGTAGAATAAGACCGGAAAGTAATAATTTGATATTTAAAACGTCCTTTTCCCATAAGTCAATTACAGGAACAAAGGTATGGTGGACAGAAACTAGGGTCATGATTACAGTTAGTATTGCACCATTTATCTTCCGCGTTAACAGCAATAGATACACAGGAACGTTTAGTTTTTGGGTGCGCGGTTGTTGTTGTAGTTGTATCTGTCGTTGATTCTGTTGGCACGGTTGTTGTTGTAGTTGTACCTGTCGTTGATTCTGTTGGCACGGTTGTTGTTTTATTTGAATCTGTAGTTGAATCTGTTGGCGCGGTTGTTGTTTTATTTGAATTTGTAGTTGATTCTGTTGGCGCGGCTGTTGTTTTAGTTGTAGATGCTGTAGAAGATGTTGTCAACAAAGTAGATGTCTTTGGAGTCGATGCCTCATTAGTTACCCCTGAACTTGAGATAGCGATATCTGAACAACCGTAGAACTCCTCCTGTGGCCCACATCCTAAACAGGATCCTTGATCGTCTGTTCCCCAACTATTTCCTGAAATACAATATATATATTTATGATTAAATTACTATTTTATAATGACACTGTGGCAGAACTGGACAGGATCTTTCTCCGGCGACCAGGTACTAGCATTGAGAGTACGCTCAGAAAAGGGATACCCGAACCTGGGTTGTAAATAGTGTTGTGCGAAGACCTAGAAAAAGGAGGGAGGAATGTAGCTGAACTAGACAGGGTCGTTTTCCAGCGACCAGGTAGCTCAGTTGGTAGAAAGTCCATCTCGAGTTCGGAGGGTCATGGGTTCGAATCCCAGTCTTGCAGTGCATTTTTCTTCTATTACAACACTTTTTAAATAAAAATTAAAGTATCAATTCATTTATAATCTAATTACAGAACAATATGTTTAGACAACTCAAGCATATGGATGCGGATCATCGTTTCTTTTGCGAATATCTATGATATATGTCCTTACCTGTCTTATATCTCCACTGTAACACACATTGGGAACATGTGACATTTTTTGGGAGTTTAACTCTGGTGACAATGTCACCCGTCCTATCGCCAAAATAACGTTTCGTCTCCCCTGTCTCTGGATTTACAAGTAGGTGCTTCAGACATTTCTTTGTAATCGTTTTTGTGACGTCGTTATTTTCGCAGAGACGGAATTCGAAAAAGCCAAGGTGGTTCATTGTTATTCGGACGGTGATGTCAATGGTAGAACCAGCGGTGTAATATTTTGAGATGGTCCCCGTTGCGTATTTTCCTCCAGCCTCGTTATCCCTTGGCGCTGGCTGATCATACGGATCCCCACACATACCGCACTTCCCACCTAAATACTTCTGGTGCTTAAATAGGAAAAAGAGATTCATAACAAATACACAGGTGATTGTACCTTTAACATTCGGTATTAAATACAGTATGCCAAAAATGAACTACACTGCATCATACAGCTGAAAAACTATATACATAAGACTTTTTACAGATTCTGTATATCATGTGTTTGTTTGATTAAAACTTTGTACACTAGATTCCTTCTCATATATTGATAGCCTAATGACATACAGTGTACCTAATGACATACAGTGTAATATGGCATTTATAAAGAACCAGAAGCATTTAAGTGTAACACGAATAATGACAGAAATGACAATTTAATTTCGTTATCACTTTAGACCTCCCTATGTTTATGCCGGGTTCATTTAATCCACACAGAAGCGTCAAAATTGAATATACAATATGTCAAACGTCATAGACATACTTACATATATATTATTAGCTGTTATTAAAGCATATAAGTGTTTTGTAATGCTGACTCAAAACATAGCGTCTATGATGCAATAACGGATTTTAATTAAAATCCATAAATACGGGTCTTTAAATGCTAAAGAATAAATCATTAATGAATTAATGAAAAAATGAATAAAATTGAAAAGATAAGATTACTTACCAGGAATCCACCACAATTTTGGTCGTTGTCACTGTAATTTATCATTGCATTGAAGCCGAATCTCCACATGCTGTTTCTGCCAGGGGGGTCTGTAAGGTAGGCGTGCCCATGAACGGCGCCGAGTAGTGTGTTTAGTATGTACAACACGACAGACATATGAAGCAAATGCATCCTTAATAGTCTCCTGGGAAACCTACCACTGGTATTTATATGATGAGTTGAGGAATTGGTATCACTCCGTTATGACGTACGTGATATTGTTCCGACCATAGCTATACCAGGGAAAAGGTCAATGAAACTGTCCTGGCTTGAGAACTGTCGTCAGTTGTGATGTGTATGGATACACGTGAAGGGGAACTGAACACCAGGCGAATATCTTGAACTCCTGTTTACTTTACGATGCCTGGGCGTATTTAAATATATATATATAAACTAGATACCTTTTATTTGCATAATCTATTTTACATGGTTTTCAAACAATACCAATTCGGTAGACGTTTTGAATATCACTAAACAAATGTGTTTTTCTTGCACCCTACACAATGCTTTTGACATTAGATTTACCATTTTAAACTTTGCAAATTGATATTTGCTGTGCAAGTTTTACTGTTCAACATGGTGACAATAGTATGTGACAAAGAGGGAAATTGTACAATATTGGTATTTCATGAATTATTTTGGTCACTAGCTGGAGCACTTTTGATTTTTGACCTTGTAAAAGGCGACACAAAAAATAATAAAAACAAAAACAGAAGCACTCGGACCGGCCATGGTTGGTTGTTTAAGGAGGAGAAACGCATATGATATACATTGGACCTACAATGAGGAAATTATATCACCCTGTACAAGATTTGTGAAAACCAAGCTAGACTGAAAGTACTTTTGTAAAAGCATCATCCTTCATTATGTTTATTGATATAAGATAGCATGTGAATGTATCTATGACTAACAGGAATGTGAGTTCAATACAACATGAGTATAACACCATACACTTAGAATCACGATTTTGTCTATGAATCCCTAGGTCAGGTCTCTACTTCAAACCAGTGTTAGTTATGCTTAATGTAAGAATTTGTGTCTCTCTTTTAACTCTGTGACACTAAGGACTTGTTATTTTATTAAAATAATATCTTAATTAACTACGATTAAATATAAAAACAATTAAACGAGATTATTGAATTAACCTCGGAATTTTAGGAGTGTCTATCCATCCAAAACCCTCCTTTATTTCCTTTATAAAGTTGAAGCTGGTTTCTTAAATCAATAAATAACTTGTTTGAGTCGCGCTTATATAATGAACTTATTGCTTAATAAAGCAATACGGCTACTGGCAACAGATCGTTACGGTGACGTCAGTCAATGACGGAGGTCCGTACACGTTTAAGATATCTGGATCCGGAGAATATTACCTAGACCTGGGGAACACAAACCATTTCCTGAAAGTCAAGTTGGTAAAGAAAGCCGACGGTGTCGCCCTAGAGGAAGATTCGAACGTAGCTCCGACGAATGTATTCTTACATTCGCTGTTCAATAACGTGAGCGTCAGTCTAAACGAAAGGCTGGTGTCTCCGCCCGACAATGCCTATCCGTACAGAGCGTACATCGAAACCCTGTTAAGTCAATGGCCCGCAGCTAAAGACTTTCAACTAACAGGCGCCATGTGGTACAAAAACACCGCAGGTGAAATGGACACTCAGGGCGACGAAAACTTGGGATACGTCGCGAGGAAAGCGATGATGGCAAGAAGTCGCACCGTCGATTTGATGGGAGAAATCCATTCGGACGTGTTTGCACAGAAACGGTAATTAGTCAACAACGTCGACGTGGAAATAAACATGTCACGCAGTAAGGACGCGTTCTGTAGCAGGCGACACGTTTAAAGCGGTCGTGCAAGATACCTGTGCCATGGAAAAAATCCCGCCAAGTATCCAGTACGGAGAATAGAAATGAAAGTGAAGTCCGTGCCTCGAGATAACACGGACTTTACCAAGGACAACCTGTTCATAGGACAGATGCCCAAGAGGATCGTCCTGGGCATTGTCGACACGGACGCGTTTAACGGTACCGCCACTTAAAATTCTTTCAATTTCAAACACCACAAGGTCGATTACGTGTGTCTGAATGTGGACGGGAAACAAATTCCCGCAAAGCCATTACAGCCTGACTTCACGAACGGTCAGTACCTAGACAGCTACATGAATCTCTATACGAGCACGGGCAAAATTTACCACGACGAGGAAAACAACGTGTCTCGAGAGGAATTCGGGAAAGGATACCCCTGTTCGCATTCGACCTCACGCCCGACCTGTCGGAGATGGGCACATTTCATCTCATAAAAAGCGGAAACATGAGTCTACACCTTCATTTCAACGAGATTTTAACATCGACGGTCAACGTCATAGCGTAGGCAGTATGACAACATCATAGAAATCGACCGTAACAGACAGATTTTATTCGATTACAGCGCATGATGAATACCATTCAAATAGATTCCATCTTGAAATAAAAAGAAGAAAAAAAACCCCAAAAAATCACCTTAAGATAACAAAAAACAAACACAAAAAAACACAAAAAAACTTTAAAAACCAAACCATTAAAAAAAAAAAAATGGGCAACAATGAGTCAGTTGGTCGCTGATGATACCCCCGAATATGATCGGGGACCCTTAGCCATGATCTTGATTGATTTGTTGAATGCCTTAGCTCGATTAGCAAGATATTGTCAAACTGGAGACTGAGGACAAATAGTTGACAAATGTGAACAAATAGTGGACAAATGTGGACAAATAGTGGACAAATTGTGGACAAATATGGACAAATAGTGGACAAATAGTGGACAAATAGTGGACAAATAGCGGACAAATAGTGGACAAAGGTGGACAAAGGTGGACAAATAGTGGACAAATATGGACAAAAGGTAAACAAATAGTGGCAAATAGTGGACAAATATCGGAGACTGGAGACTTATGACGAATGAGGACAAATAGTTGACAAATGTGAACAAATAGTGGACAAATAGTGGACAAATAGTGGACAAATAGTTGACAAATATGGACAAATAGTGGACAAATAGTGGACAAGGGTGGACAAAGGTGGACCAATATGGACAAAGGTAAACAAATGGTGGCAAATAGTGGACAAATATCAACAAAGAGGGAGTGGACAAAAAGTGAACAACTAGTGGACAAATATGACAAATATGGACAAATGTTGACAAATGATGACAAAATAAGGACAAAATACGATACAGAATCAGCAGTATCTGCATATTTTATTTCAAAAATGACCATTTCGTATTTGTTTTTATATTTATAATACGTTTAGTCTCAAAATATATTTTTTTCATATTGATTCATTTATCTATGTATCTATTAATAATATAACCTTAGTTTCACACTTCTTAAAAAATCAAGTTTCAAATACAACCCTTGAAAATAAAAAATAAAGTGTATAGAAAACATTCCGATCATAGTATTAAGGATTCTATACAAAAAAATAATATTAAACAAATATATAAAAAAATGACGCCGACGCGCATCGAACCCGCGACCACACACCCCGTACGCTAACGTTCTTACCTCTGCGACATACGGGCCTGAGTTCAGAGCGTATATCAATTGATGATAGTGACGTCACGTTCGACGACCGTGACGTCATCTAAAGCTTCCCGTACGACTCTGACAAGCTCAGACATTGACGACACACTCTTCATCACCGAATCACAAGACAAGCTTATACTGTCTATCCAACTTCCTCCACCAACACCAATACAATAGCAAGCAGACATGTACAGGAAAGAACGACAAAACATATAAACAAGGAGCGCATTAGGAAACAACATCGCCAAAGAATGTATAGACAACGACGTGCAAGCGGCCAGTATTATTACACACTTTCCTGTAATTATAGTGTCCAAATAGAATCACCTACTTTAACTCATTTATTATACCGTTAGCTAATGTATTATTGGGAATTGTCTACGTGTTAACTATTATTTTTAGTTCAAACAAGGACGCAACACCACCTGCTACAACACCTTCAAGAGCAACGACACACTCACTTCCTACACGAAAAAAAAGGTCATCATAATCTAATACCACACTCGAAAACATTGTAAATATGCCGTGAATTTTATATTGTAAATAACTCATGTTGTCACTATTTATTGTTCGTAAATATGATTTATGCATAAGACTATTAAGAAAAATGAAAATACATGATTAAAAAAGAGCAGAAAAAGAGGAGAAAAGAAAAGACACCCCAACGAAACAGCGGCGGTGATTCCTGGAGAGAATACCTGAAATCAGAAGCAAAATGCTGAAACAGGGGAGTTAATTCCGTCATTACCACAAAATTGATGACGTCACACGCAATACACGTACCCTATTAAAAAACAAGGGGAGATATTTCCGGCGGTAACGCGAAAATTAATGACGCCAAAGTAATACACAACCCATGATGATGCAGGGGAGAAGGGGTCGGTAGGTTTAGGTGGTTGCTAAGGCGCCATCTTGGATCCAAAATGGCGGATTTCCTTAGTAACTATCCCCCCGTCCCCCCGAACTCATCAGGCACTAAAAGAAAGAAAAATAAATAAATTCATTAAAACCACACAAATAGATTTCACCAGATAAAAATGGTCAAAAGATCATCTTCAATACATAAGCCAAATCAATAGCATCATCTTAGTCCCATAGTCGTTAAAAACAATCAACCGATCATGTAAGCTCTCTTGAATGTTCTAGACAGCTAATATTTGGAACATATAACTAAATAAGTATGTGTGTAAATTAAATATTGTTTTCCTACCCGTCGTTTATCGTTCATAGCCATGTTATGTCATGTCTTAATTTAATTAAATCGTGAATCGGTGAAGAACCTAATTTGTTATTAACGCAAGTGCATACACGTACATTTTAGACGAGTTTCATATTGTCTATACTCTGTGTCTTATAAGTAACGACTCGGTTAAAGATTGTGTCAGGATAGGGCACCTTAGGTCAGTTTCAGGCCTACACGCCACTTAGGTTAATGGGTTTTGGTTCTGAACTGGGGCTTAGAGATGAAAATTAGAACTTCGGCTGTGTTTTGACAGAAAAGTCATGCAAAGCTAGTTAATGAAAGTTTACTTGAAAGCTTTAGGCCTTCAAGAAAGGCCTACAACAACACCGA